TCTCCCTCTCCCTCTCCCTTCCTCTCTGAAATCAATTAAAAAAATATATATATTTTTAAAAAGACCAAAAACCAGAAGTGGTCCACAGCCACGTTCTTGTCTGACCGTGTTAGGGAATCGCAGCTGAGGACGCGTGGAGCATTTGGTGTGTCCGACGCCCAGGGGCCCCGGGAGAGTCCTGGGAGGAAGCCTGTGAGGGGGTAGTGGGGAGAGCGCGGGGCAGTTCCACAGTGGACGAGGCCCATGCGATGTCCAGAGCCGCGTGGAAGCTCGGGGACTCGTGGCTTCTGAAAGCGCCACGTGCAGGCTGACGTGGCTCCTGCGGCCGACCCCGCTCGGAGCGCTCGGTGTGAAATCTGCCCACACGTCGCGTGCTCAGGGCTGGGCTCGGGGCGAGGCGGTGGGTGTGATGCCCCACGTAATGCCGGGAGGCCTGAGGCGGGACCCTGACAGCATTTCGGAGTCTGAACTCCATGTGCCGCCTGGTAGGGGCAGGAGGGTCGCACGGGGCTCCGGTGTGAGCACCAGCATCCTAGATCCACGTCCTCCTCCGCTCCACGGGGACCTCCAGCGATGGCGTGAGCACGGCAATCCCGTCAGCGTGAAATGTGCGCTAACACGACACGGACCTATGGAACCAGCGGGAAGCAGTGGCTAAAGGCACGGCGTCTGCCGCCTCCCGGGGCCCGCGGCCCATCGGACGCATCTCCCCCCCCCGCCCTTGAAGGGGTTCCCCGTCTACACCACCCGCCACAAGTGGAGACACGTGCAGCCGGCCCAGGCCCAGAGGTGAGCCCAGCACTTGATTCCCAGCTGCTCTGGTGATCGGTCCCCGGAGAGCCGACCTCACTCGGTGGGAGAGGCCGGCGGTGGATGCAGGTGGGGACTCGTCCACAGGCCTCACCTGGATGAAACCTTTAGTTCAAGAAGGAAGGGAACCCCCCTCCCCAAAAAAAAGACCAACAGGAAGGAGCAGGGGAGACCGAGGCGCAGCCCCAGGTGAGCGAGGAGGACGCTCCTGGCGATGAAGCCGGGAGTGAGGGCAGGTGGGCGCTCAGGGTGGGACCAGAACCCGTTTCTCCGCCTCCAGCTGGGGGCGCGTGGCCTGTGGGGGGGCCCCGGCTGCCTCCTCCTCTCCGGCCACAGGCTCTGCTTTCCGGTTTCACTTCACGCTATGGATTTACCTTCTCGAGGAAGGAGCCTGGTGTGGGCTGTGACTGCGCTAATTTTCAGCGCC